TGACACTCTACCGACCACCGAGAAGGGATCCCGTAGCTGCTGCTTATTTGCGAGAGTAGCTTGAAAAGATTGCTGCACAATTGGATATCCCCACCATGGAGGACTGTAACGCGTCTCACATGGACTGGAGCTTGGCCTACGTATGTGGCTCTGATCTGGCATTTGAGGGCTGCCTTCTGAGCACGAGGCTTAATTTTTCTCTCCCGCAGTACATCACTTTTCTAACTGGGGGGCGAGAAGGCCAACAGGACAATTGTCTGGACCTCGTTCCCACGAAATCGCGGGACAGCATTGATGGGGTGTCATGTTTACCTCGGCTAGGTAAAAGTGATCGTGGTGTCCTGTTATGGGAGTACTAGCTTTTTTCAATGCCCGAGAGACCCATAACATTCCGAAAAAATATTTGACAAAGTGAGTTCTATCGAATGAAGGTCGAACTCGCACACACTGAATGAGAATCCTTATGTTTTGTAAACATAACCGAGGACGGGGAAATGTTCCGGGACATTTTGCACAGGTTCATCGAAAAGCACTGTCCGCTTTCGAGGAAAAGAGTGACCAAGAGACCTTGATGGCTTTTGCAGGCCTTAAAAATAGAAGTTAACAAAAAGTGGAGGCTGTGGAAAATATCGCCTATGAACAGGACTCCTGCATCTCTAAGTGCACATAAAACTCAGAGAAATCGGGTCGAAGACCTTATCCTTAGCAAAAAAGGGGATTTCAAAGTGGACCTGCCTAACCGGACCATCACGAACCCAAAATTGTTTTAATTTACCTTAGACAGAATAGGTGAAACAAGAATCCGATACCCCTGATGAGAACCGCCGAGGGTATAGCCCTTGTTGAAAATGGAGCGAAAGCTAATCGGCTATCAGAATTTTCCCGTCGGTTTTCCCAAAGAAAAAGGGATACGACTACTTTGTGTACGACTTCGAAGTGGCAACAGTAGTCGATACGGTCCAATTCACCGAAACTATTGTTCTAAAAGAACTATTGGAGTTAAATGAATCTAAATCACTAGGTCCTTATAAGATACCGACCAAGATGTTGAAGGACCTGGCCAATGATTTGACAAAACCACTGTCAACG